TATCTATCTATCTATCTATCTATCTATCTATCTATCTATTTATCTACACGTACGTTTATCTCTTTATCTCAGATTACCAGTCTCAAAACAGGGAAAGTTCGGGAATTAAATCCTCCAGATATCTTTTGATATATACGTTTGTCTGTCTGTCTGTTTATCTATCTTTATTTACATCTCTGTCTGTTTGTTTGTACTATCTGATCCTGACATTGACGACACTATGATTTACATGTGCATCTAAAAAAGAAACACTTAACAATGATATACCAATTGCGAAATGTCCCTGCATAATACGAATGAATAGGAAGGAAACAAACAACAAAAAAATGAATAAATAAGATTTAAAAGAGATTTCAAAATGGCATTCGAGTATCAATATTGCATGTACGTAATGTAGATGGCGAAGACGCAACATGCATTACTACCGTATTTACTGGTGTAAAATATACGGTAAACTGTAAAGAACTTTTTCTGAGATATATTATCGCATAATACGCTGTAGGTTTTGTCTCTGATTTCAGGCCGACAGCGTAGACTCTGGTCTGCCAAGGCATTATTGAGATTTTGATCTTGGTCTGCATTATTCATAGTTGGATTACTGTTAAGTACATGTGCCGGTAAATGCTGTTAAGTAGTATCAAACTTAAAACTTGACGTGAGATATAAAAAAAATATACTGCTGAGTTTGCTTATTGGTTAAAATTATCCCTAAATTAGCTATCTTTAATATCACGCAATGCAGAGAGAGAGAGAGAGAGAGAGAGAGAGAGAGAGAGAGAGAGAGAGAGAGAGAGAGAGAGAGAGAGAGGGAGGGAGGGAGGGAGGGAGGGAGGGTGGGGTGGGGTGGGGTGGCAATTAGCCAACATTGACAGGTGCTAACTAAAATTGATAGATTCATTTATGTCATGTCTGGGTATTAAAAACAACGCCATTTTTAATGTATATATTTAGACTGTATAGCTAGTGTTTTTTGGCTGATGGTTTATATTATGAATTTGTATTCATTTCAAGATCTATGTTAAATTGTTAAATTAATCAATGACACGCACGTGCATTTGCAAATAAAATAGGCCTATACTATCTAAGCTAAATTATAAAAACCATGGAAAACAAACTCTGCCTATGACGAAATATCAACAAAAAAAAAAACTTTGCAGCCGTATATATTGAAAGTTCTTAATGAGCAATAAGTGATATTGCTCTGAAAAGTAAATCACATGCTGCACTTGCAACTGTAGCTAATAGACTCACTAGACCTTGAAACTAGGCCCCTAAGTGGTAATAAGACTAAAAAGTTTAAAATATATGATTGGATTTTAAAATAACGGTAGTAGTAACGTTTTATCCCTCTGGTAAAGGGTCAAACATGCCTTTATTACAAGAGCGGTGACGGGTCAGACTGATTTGTATTACAAGAAACTGATTTGTATTACAAGAATGGTGAAGGGTCAAACCGGGATCTATTGCAAAAGTGGCAAAGGATGGGATTGGTCTGTAGTACATCAGTGGTAAATGGTCAGACTGGTCTGTATTACAAGTGTAGTGAAGGGTAAGACTGGTATACATGGAATGAGCGGTAACGGATAAAAGGTCAGACTGGTCGGTATTACAAGTGTGGTGAAGGGTCAGACTGGTCTGTATTACAAGTGTGGTGAAGGGTCAGACTGGTCTGTATTGAATAAGTGGTAACGGATAAAGGGTCAGACTGGTCTGTATTACAAGTGTGGTGAAGGGTCAGACTGGTCGATATTACAAGTGTGGTGAAGGGTCAGACTGGTCTGTATTGAATAAGTGGTAACGGATAAAGGGTCAGACTGGTCTTATTACAAGTGTGGTGAAGGGTCAGATTGGTCTGTATTGAATGAGTGAAAACGGATAAAGGGCCAGACTGGTCTGTATTACAAGTGTCGTGAAGGGTCAAACCGGTCTGTACTACAAGAGTGGTGAAGTGTCAGACTGATTTCTTGGATTAATCCAATCTCCCTCTCAATGTTCCATCTGTGGTTATAGATGGTGTGTGTGTGTGTGTGTGTGTGTGTGTGTGTGAGAGTGTGTGTGAGTGTGTGTGCGTGTGTGTGTGAGAGAGAGATTTGGATTTTTAATATAACTTTAATAATTTAGGAATATCGCTATGATGTCTGCTCTGTGACAGTTTATAGTGATGTCTAGCGCTAGGCCATCATACTGCAGGGATGTAGAATCATGTCACACCCAATCATATTATCCTGACACCAGGCCGACTAATCTTAGCACATACCTATTAATGCTGAGCGCCAAGCGTGACAGCTGTTAGTACCATTTGGATAAGTCTTTGGTATGACTCGGCCGGAGTTCAAACACGCGACCTCCTGCATCTGAGGTGGACACTCAAACTAAATCGGCAACCGGAGCGGTCATAAACTATTGCAATTTTCCAAATATATTTTATCCAAAGTTTTTATTATATACTATTTATCTTATATTTATCTTCTTTTTCAAATGCTTTTAAATATTATTGGTCATAATCAAGGTCATACATGGCTTGCAAGTCAGTTCTTTGTAAAAAAACTTTTAAAAGAAATTCAATCTTATAGATTCGTTCATTAGAATTAATTTTGTCCATGGCGTACGTATCAGCCAGTCTATGGTCTTACTACGTCATTCAAACTAAGTGACCACTTGACCCCATCACGTGATCTAAAATTGCGTTTAAAACTAACATTTTATAGTGAGTTACTTTAGTCTTAAATCATACCGTTGGAACTCAAAGGCAATTTTTGTGTGGTGACCAGTTTGAGTTGAAATTTTAAAAAAAATAATTTAAATTCCCTTTGAAATATCTAGTGCTCATCAAAATTCTTGGACAACGACGTTTATTATAAATTATTTGGCATTCTATAGCCGGAATATTAATTTTAGTGATTCAACAAGGAACTGTTGACACGGCAATACTAAACAGAATATAGAAGACGTCATTGCATTCCATGTTGCAACTTCATCGGGATTCGAACTTTGATTTATGTAGTGATGGGACTTATATTAATTCTATGATTAATTTAGGATTAGATTCGCAAACCGTAAGTCCGTTTTCATATTTTTGCCTTGTTTCAAAGGGAAATAAATTATTTTCTTAACTTTTAGTAAGCTTGTTGGCGTCACTCTTTTCTTTTTTACTTTGTACAAGCCTAGACAGGTAACATCCTTCACTCGACGTGTCTCTATTGGTAAAATCTAAAAGTATTTCAGGGATCGGGATGGATGGACCAAGTCATGACCTCGATTTTACAATGTAAAAATATGCTGTTCTGCAGTGATCATGGTCTTTAACATGGACTTTTACATGGTCTTTAACATCATGTCTGTATCGGTTGTGCTTTATCATTAACTTAAGAAACAGAAAAAAACTTTGTTTCTCGACCAACTATGGAAGATGTTAAAATCATCTATAACAAAACAGCTCAAGTAACAAAATGTACTGTTTGACCTTCTATCGTTTATTCAATAAGAGTACCGTATAACAAAGTCAAACATGTAGCATCTTGTGATGCTTTAGTCTTATTTTTTTTTTAACGTTCAGCATTGGCTTTTTGAGTTTCTAAGAACATTTTCCAGTTGATCTATTATGCCCAACTTGACGAGGTTTTTTTTTGCATTTGAGAATCACCTAATTCGGGTTTCTTAAAACTTCCGTATTTATTTTCATGCCTTCATTTATTTGCAAGGATGTTTGGAAAATGAATTAAATATTAATATAAATGGGAATGATGGATGATTGTAAGTAATATGTATAGGTTATATAGAACAGTTAATTGATTAAATAATTCCTTTGTAAGAGACGAATATGTGGAAAAATGTAAATGTAATTAACAAATTTTTACAAAACTGCTGCTTACTGCAGCTGTGCTATAATGGTAGTGGAGTGAGGGCAGAAAGGAAAGGGAAAGGGGGATGAATGATGGAAAATGACGTAACACCAGTTACCTGTAGCAAAAGTGGATGGGGGCACTAAAAGCATTGCTCCCTGATGCCTAGAACCCTAGCGTCACCACTGCATCATTAAAACGATATCATGCAGAACTAAAATAATAGGGAACATTAATAAATTGATAATATTATGAGTAAATGAAATAAAAGTTCCATGATAATAAAACCAATGATGTAATTCACAAAGCAAGAAACACAACGTAAAAAAACTGAGGTAGAATTTTAAATTAGAAACGAAAATGAGAGGCGTATAACCCCCAGTTGACTTTTACCTTAGCTGACAGGATTAGTCAGTCTGCAGATGTTTTAGAATATGATTTAGATAAAGATTATATAATACCACGTGCCTCTTTTTTGCGCATGATTCTAAGCAACAAAGAACATATTTTTAAGAGGTCCAACACTGGATATATGAAAGCCAAAGAAAGAAGTCCAAAAATATGCTTAGACACCATCAAGGAAAGAAACAAGAGAGCTAGAGAAAAGTTCAGTATTGCAAACTTTATCATTGAAGAAATTGTAAATAATATCCACAAGCGTGTTTTATCTTTTATCTTGACCAGTTTGTTTTATATCATCGATTTTATTGCTAGTAATCAGGATCTTCAGTGATATCATCTGTCTAAAAATTCTTGCCAAAAGCACTAATGCATCAATAATAGACGAACCGCTGCACATTTTATTTATTAAGTATTGCTTTCTAGCATTATCTTTATTCAACAATTTTCTGTCCATTAGAAAAAGGTTGGAATGTAATCAATATCAAATTCTTTGCAGACAGAGGCACTCCCAACCTGAATGATAAAAAGCCAGTGAGGTATCTGATATAAGTTAATGCGATGCAATCATCTTTCAATTCATTATGTGAACAGTGTATGTTATCAATTACAAAAAAGTATATTCCAGTCATCGATTTCAAAGCACAACTTGCATATTCTGACAATAATTGGTAAAGTTTAGTAGCTCTAAAACTAGAAAAAGTTCGAGTTGTCTTCTTCTTTTCTGTTTCATTCATCTTCTTTTCCAAAATCTTTACCGCTCCGGTGGCCCAGTGGTTAGAGCGTCAGCCTCGGATGCGAAAGGTAAGCGGGTTCGAACACCGGCCCGAGTTATACCAGTGACTTTAATTTAAAAAAATGGTACTAACAGCTGCTTTGCTTGGTGGTCAGCATTAGGAGATTAGTGTTAGGACTGGTCCCCCCTTGTGTCAGGATAATGTGACTGGAATAATGTCCCAATGCTAGACATCACTATAAACTGTCACACTGCAGACATCGTACTGATATGACTGAAATTTTTTAAAGCTTTGTTAAAAATCTAAATAACACAAACGTTAAAGTTTTACTAGTTACCGCTTTGTATGTTATATTAATTAAAATTATATATATATATATATATATATATATATATATATATATATATATATATATATATATATATATATATATATATATATATATATATATATATATATATATATATATATATATAAGCTTTGTCCATTATTTATAACTGATAAACTGAAAAAAAAAATAAAAACTTTGTTGTTTCAGTAATCCAAAAATAGCAGAGGGCTGAAGTGGTATGCTTTATATTTCAGCTGAAAATCCTTTGTCTGACTATTATTATTTCAGTGTTTCCCTTTACGCACAGTTGTGCGTCAGGGACGCACACTGGAAAAAATTGACGCACAGAAACTTTTGCTGTGCGTTTTTTTTTTTTTTTTTACGCAAAGGATTTGCAAAATATAATAACGATTTATTTAATATCCAACTCGTTGCATTAGACATGGAATCGTGTATACTTCCATTATTCATCATTAGGGATGGCATCGTGAATACTTCTTCCGGTTTCCTGTTTTGTATGCTCTCTGTGTTGCACAATGTAATACTGAGCATACAGAGCAGAGAACCAAACTACCATTAGGCAATATTATGACATAGTAGTTTCCCCTTATCTCTCGAGCTCTCACGCGATTCTATCGAGTTCAGGGGGCAGGGGCCAGTATTTATGTACAAATTTAATGCCGCAATCAGTGACCTAGTACAAAAAATCATAAAAAAATCAAATACACAAGTGAGGTCAAGAATGCCCATATTTTGAGATACCTATATTAAAACAAAGCATAAAAATATTATCCACTTGACCAGAGAAGTCAGTGGCAGTTCATAGCAGAAGAAGTTTATGCACCCCAACCCCAAATTTATACCTGCAATTTTCATGTCCGAAGGTCATTTTTGACACCATGTGGTACTCACAGTGCAAACACAAGCCCTTTTCCTAGATTACAATTCTGCCAAACAGTGTGTACTAAACAGGCTGATGCAGTTGAAAATAGTTGTCATCCAAGCCGCTTTTGAGATATGCTCCTTGTCCCAAACGGCCATAGTACACAATTAATTTTACTATACGGTCTCTACATTTGTTCCTCAGTACTGAACTTTCCACTGTGTGACAATCAATACAAATCATATGTTAATCTAAAATACCTTCAAAGATGACTTTACGGTTTAGTTCTTGTCAAGGGTTGACCTGCATTTTTTTGAGAGGCTGAATTGTAAACAAAACACCAGGCAACGGAACACAGAATTCACTTCCGGATCATCACCATGACCTTATTACTCAATGTGCACTGTCGCCGAAATACACACAGACAACCACACCATAAGATCACATTTTAAAGAATAATCAATTGCCTTTAAATCCTTACCAAGAATGCCAAAATCTAACTCTAGTATCACCACCAAATTTAGACCGGAAAAAGTGATCTAAAAATAGACTGGGACTACATTCGTGGGTACTGAACCGGATTTTATTAATTGTGTACCGATTCCTGAAAGGGTCAATGTTTTTGTCAAACTTTTATATTTGCATTTTATTTTGCATACCACTACTGTTTCAACTTCATACATAAAGTCTTTTGAAATTTCCTTGCAAGCAAGACATGTGACAGCTGTCAGAAAGTGTGTAGTGCTGGTGTTCTATAGGGTGCAATTTGAGGTCCAATTGTTCTTAAGAAACCAAAACTAAATTTGCTATATCTTCCTTAATTATAGGAATTTTTCAATGCAGTAAAAACCTAATTGTAATACTTGATAAGGCCTGTCTGAAAATAGTCTTGAAATTAAAAAATATTGATATATTAAATTTAAATGAAAATTTTAAAAATATATAAATTTTAAAAACTTTTTATTTTACAAAAAATAAATTTTCATACAAGTTATGACATTCAGTTTGACAAATTTAAGGCAGCAATGTTGATTAATGAATGGTCTTTAAAACAAATGGTAGTTTAGGTCTGTACAACTGATAATATTAATCCCAAAGGTACTGAAGCATGATAGCTCACAGTGATTTTGACAGCAAATTGCAATATGCCTATCCAGATGCATATAGGTGTACATACTAAAGAAACAATGACATGTACTATATTCCACATTTATTGTTTCAGGTACTTGGACAGTTGTTTGTATAACTAATATCCCACTCAAATTTAAAGTTTTGATGGGACCACTACCATGTTTTATAGCAAATATGCATTCCATTTTAATGCCGATAACTACAAAAGTCAACAATGCAATATGAAAATACAGTTTCACCTTACTGAAAAAAGATGCGAATCTCTCTCATGAAGATCTAAGCCATGTCTTTGAGATGCTGTATATCAGTGTACTGATATGAACTCATCTTGGTCACTTATAGCAGCACACTGCACATGTCCTTATGAGACCTTGCTATCACCATTGGACTACTGGAGAGCTTCCAAATTGATCCAACTCTAATACTTTGTTTCAGATACCAGACTAGACCTGAAAATATATAACATGTTTCACTTAATTCTAAAAAAAAGGAAGATGTAGGCAAATGAAGTTAAAATGTGTTAGATATGGTGATTTCAATATAACATTCAGGTTGCAAATCTGGTTAAAAAAGGTAAACTTGATAGAGTGACACTCAAAGATGTGAAGCAATGGGCATGTATTAAAGTGACAAATGCATCCTAAAAATAGATGAAGTTTCTACAAGCATATTTAGCCATTTACAGGTTAAATAACTAATCAGGTAGAGTATGTATCATAAAGTTTAAGGCAATGTTGGAACGGTGAGGTTTGATCATTGGTGCAAACATTGATACATACCAGTATAGTGGAAAGTCAAATGACAATGTACCAAATTAAAATTTATTACTATATGCAATCCTATTCATGAAGGAAAAAACAATTTTAGATATTGTGAGTGAATATAGCAAAATGTGGCCACACAGATCAACTATAGGTACCAATAGATCCTATATCATCAACTAAATGTGAAATTTGCATCCCGAAAACTTGTAAACAAGGATGGATATTTGCATGTGTGGGACATATGCAATGTACTTGTTAAAATCACATGTGCAAACATGATTCAAATAATCTGTTTGAATATGTTTAGTCTATTTTTAAGAGTCTTGGCTACCAAGGTTTTAAGTTCAATGATTCAATGATTCAATGGAATGAAATATCAGCTGATGCTGCAATACCGCCCTCTGTCAAAGTACTAAATTGAAATGTGTTACTATACAGAGGCATATTCATGATGAAAATAACATCTTGGGATATTTTAAGTGCACACAATCAAAACTGAGCCTTACAGATTCACTATAGGTACCATGTCAGCCTAACAATTTCAACTTTTGATTCCAAACATTACAAAATATATGCATATTTGTTCATGTCAGCTATTTAACCATGTTAGGATCAGTTGTAGAAAGTCAAATTCAAATAATCTGTTTGAATATTACTTATGTAATCTTTAAAGTGTCAGATAACAAATATTATTGGTCATTAATAATGCATAAAGCAAAATGGATCATGAGAATTCCCATAATATCATCTAGGCTACAATGTCGCACTACATCAATCAACATCTTAAAGAAACTGAACAATAAAATGGAATGCATTCTGTGTTCAACTTACATCATTTTGCTGTTTTCTTACATGCAATGGTAAATATACCAGGGTAAAGTATATTTTACCCCTCTGACCTGTATTTCATTCTCTGACAGCTTAATATGATTTTGTAGAGAACTTGAACAGGTTCTAGTATAAAGTCTTCATCTCTGTCCTCTCACTAAATACCCTATAACTATGGTTATAAACAATTACTGATAGCTATACAAGCAGATATGTGTTACTCAGGAAGTCACCCCATCATAAACACATAAATTACCTGTTTGAACCCCAAATAAATAGTTTCAATGACCTAAAGGTACAAAGCAAAGTAGAATTTTGTCTTCATGTATTTTAAATGAGGGTCTCATTTTGACTAATAAAGATATTTTCTCTGATCAAATGTGACAAATATCCATCATTTGAGCTTAATATGTTGTAGGAGTATATATATGCTGATATCATTTAATATCATTCCCAAAAAATATTATATATGTGTATACTTGGTGGAAATTTTTTTATTTTTGAATTGTTTTTTAAATTTCATTTAAATTTTTAAAATTAAAATTATTTTTTTACTTCTAATTTCATTTTTATATTTTTAAAGTCAATATACATAACATATTAAAATTTCATGTATATGTCATTAATAATAAAAAATTTATATCAGTTTCAAGTTTTTACTGACAGGCCATAGTACACAATTAATTTTACTATACGGTCTCTACATTTGTTCCTCAGTACTGAACTTTCCACTGTGTGACAATCAATACAAATCATATGTTAATCTAAAATACCTTCAAAGATGACTTTACGGTTTAGTTCTTGTCAAGGGTTGACCTGCATTTTTTTGAGAGGCTGAATTGTAAACAAAACACCAGGCAACGGAACACAGAATTCACTTCCGGATCATCACCATGACCTTATTACTCAATGTGCACTGTCGCCGAAATACACACAGACAACCACACCATAAGATCACATTTTAAAGAATAATCAATTGCCTTTAAATCCTTACCAAGAATGCCAAAATCTAACTCTAGTATCACCACCAAATTTAGACCGGAAAAAGTGATCTAAAAATAGACTGGGACTACATTCGTGGGTACTGAACCGGATTTTATTAATTGTGTACCGATTCCAAACCCACATATTTACTGTTACGAGAGGCTAGCTCTTCTTC